GCGGGGACGCCGCAGGACCAGGGCGCCGCGCTCAGCAGCCCTCCCTCAGCGGGGACTCCGCAGGACCACGGCGCCGCGCTCAGCAGCCCCCCCTCAGCGGGGACGCCGCAGGACCAGGGCGCCGCGCTCAGCAGCCCTCCCTCAGCGGGGACGCCGCAGGCCGCAGGACCACGGCGCCGCGGAGGGAAGGCCGCGATAGGCGCTCAGCAGACACTACTTGCTCTGCCGGGGAAGTCCCATCGATATGCGCCAGGGACCTGCGTAGGGGGGGGGGGGGGGGGCACCATCCGGGCAGCGCGCATGGAGTAAAGCACCCCAGCCCGGCCCGCGGCACCCCGGCCCTGCCCGGCGGGGGCGGGCTCTTGCTGCCCGCTAGCGGCGCACCTCTCTCGCGTCAACGCGTTTCGGGTGCTCGGAGGTGACCGTCGTTTGCCGATGTGTTGCGGTATGGCAACTTGTGGCGGGCGTTGAATCGCAAGTAACGGGCCCTTTGGGCACATCCACAATCAATCTTACGTCAAACACGAAATTTTGCTGCGAAAGTGTCCCAGTTTTCATTAAAATCTGACCAATAATTCATGTCAGTTCGATGTAATTTTGATTGGAGATTGATGAGTGTTTCTTCAGGGTGTATGGAGCGTTTGGAAAAGATCCGTGTACAAATTTTGCGTGCATACCAAGTACCTGGTGTGGGTGCGGGTGCTGGTACATGAGGTATTCCCTATGACACCGCAGGACCAGTTCGTGGACTCAATGGCACCTACCGCAAGTGCATCTCGCGGATGATCCAAATATTGTTTTTTCGCCTACGATCATTAGTTTTGGCCATATGCAAAGAGGGAAAATACGCACATAAGTACACATACCGTACACACTGCACTTGTGCCATGTGAATAAAATAAATGTTATTTACTGGAACATTTTATGTTTTCATTTTATTCAAAGTTTGAAACTCGGCTCAACAGTCTTTCATAGTACTTAGAAAGCAAATTTTTATGGAATCGAGGAGAAATGTCCTGATTTGAGGTCTCTCCGGGTTCCCCGGCCAAGACAAATTTAGGCGCTGCATCCGAGATTGGCACCGGAAGTCATCTTGCAAGGTAGGCAACAACACGAGCTCTTCTTTCTTCACCCCTTTAATTTGGTCAGTATTCAACTTTATTGCTATCCACATGCAAAATTGTAGAAATATTTTTTCTATCTGTTTCAAAACACAAAGTTTGCTGAAGTCCAGTGGAAAGGAAAAACTGGAAAAAGTTTGGTTACTGGAAGGTTTGACAAACTGTTGAGTAGGCTCGGCTGCTAGCTGGCTTGTTTTAGGTTTTGGTTAATGTTACGTCTGACACGTCGCTAACTTTGGCGTTTGTGACGTAAACACAACAGTTATTGAGCCTGGTGCAAGAAGAGCACATTTTTTACCCTAGGTACGAGGATGCTCCTCTACATTTTTGTCCTAGCGCAATGTTGTTGATCTTTTGTGCATAAAGTTTCATGCTGTCAGGGTTGTGTTTGGTTATGTCAGTTTTCTCTTCACCGGCCAGTGTTGACATATTCAGCGCTTGTAATGTCATTATTTCAGAACTTAGATAGTTTAACATCATTATAATCACACCCTTAGTTTTCCCTTATTTATTTTTTCCAACTATTCCTTTATTAAATGGATATGGTTTGTCTTCTCCATCCTACCTTCACCCCAATCTTGTCCTGGAAGATCTACTTGTCAGTTTTGTTTTTATTTATTTTTATTTGATGTGCTGTAGTTTTACTCTAATGACAGTGTCACTGAAGTGCTATAATTATGTTTATGTCTCAGTATTCAATCAGTATTCTGTGTGCAGAAGTAAATAGGTAGTTTATTGAACCTTTACCTGTGAAGATTGTGACAGACATCATAAATCTCAAAATTCTCTGTATTTAGGAAAATCTTTTTGCTTTTCTGAATTCAATAACATAAGGACCTAACATTACATTCTTGCTTCTGATTTACAGTGCTGGAGGTCCGTGGTAAACACAATGGCGAACAGCATTGAGCAGCCATGTTATACTTTGATCAACGTAACGTCAGAGTCAGAGAGTTACAATGAACTTCAGTTAAAAATGGATCTAGGTTAATAAAATATTATGGTGATCTTATTTAATTTTTCCTAAAATCTTGGTGCTAATATCTTACTTAACTTTCAGAAAAGGGTGATATTAAAGTAAAAATAGAAGCGTTAAAGAAGGTTATCCACATGATATTGGCTGGTGAAAGGATACCAGGAGTATTGATGACCATCATTCGTTTTGTCCTTCCCCTGCAAGATCACACAGTTAAGAAACTGCTCCTTATCTTTTGGGAAATTGTCCCTAAAACAACAAGTGATGGAAAACTGCTCCATGAAATGATCTTGGTCTGCGATGCTTACAGAAAGGTATTCTTGTGTGTTCTATTTTTCTTAGCGTCCATCTACTTGTTTAGTCAACATCGGGATTTTTACAATGAAATTTACATTTGAGTGATTTTTTTTCTAGGATCTCCAGCATCCAAATGAATTTGTACGTGGGTCAACCTTAAGGTTCCTCTGCAAACTCAAAGAACCTGAACTTTTGGAGCCTATCATGCCTGCAATCAGAGCCTGTTTAGAACACAGGCACTCATATGTTCGGCGCAATGCAGTTCTTGCTATTTTCACAATTTTCAAGTAAGATTCGTGCAATGCACTGAATGTCTTGAAGTTATGTATTTTCAATAATTTCTTTCTGACATTTTTAACTTAGGAATTTTGAGTTTCTTATTCCTGATGCGCCCGAACTTGTTGCAAACTTCCTGGACATTGAGCAAGACATGTCTTGCAAAAGAAATGCTTTCCTCATGCTGTTACATGCTGATCAAGAACGGGCTCTTGCCTATCTTGCATCGTGTCTTGATCAAGTTTCTTCCTTTGGTGACATTTTGCAGCTGGTCATTGTGGAGCTCATTTACAAGGTTTGTTACTGAAATTTACTTTCATCCAATACCTCTCAACTATCCAATACCTCTCAACTAACCAATTTTTTTTAAAAATATGTACCACAGCAGATATTTTTATGATTCATTTGTCATTTAAAAAGATGTTCTTTGTTTGTAGGTTTGCCATGCCAACCCATCTGAAAGGTCTCGTTTTATTCGCTGTATTTACAATCTCCTAAATTCCACAAGTGCAGCTGTGCGTTATGAAGCTGCAGGCACTCTCGTTACACTCTCCAGTGCACCTACAGCTATAAAGGTAACATAGACATAATTGAAAGCCAATGCTTAGAATAAGACTTCATCACTTCTCTATTTCATTTGCTTATTCAAACTTTTTCAGGCAGCAGCATCATCTTATATTGATCTTATCATTAAAGAAAGTGACAACAATGTAAAATTGATAGTTCTAGACAGATTAATCGCCCTTAAGGAACATCCCACACATGAAAGAGTACTGCAGGATCTTGTTATGGATATTCTTCGTGTGCTTGCGAGTCCCGACATTGAAGTGAGACGAAAGACATTGTCCTTAGGTAAGCCGTGATGTGTGTTGACTTTGAGAAGGTTTCCACTTACAAAGAATTCCTAATTACTCTATCTCTTCTATGTATAATGTTCTTTCTTTGTGTTTCTAGCTCTCGAGCTAGTCTCATCTCGTAACATTGAAGAAATGGTTCTTGTTCTGAAGAAAGAAGTAGCCAAGACGCACAACTTGGTAGAACATGAGGACACAGGAAAATACAGACAATTACTTGTACGAACATTACACACATGTTGCATCAAGGTAAAAGTCTTAATATTTGGTTTACATTATTTTGCTGTAACAACTGTATTAAAGAGCAGTATCAGTAATTTGTTTCTATCTTTGACAGTTTCCTGATGTGGCTGCAACTGTTATCCCAGTGTTGCTTGAGTTCTTATCAGATACCAATGAGCTGGCTGCTTCTGATGTTCTTGTGTTTGTGAGAGAGGCTATTCAAAAGTTTGATAACCTCCGCCCTCTCATCGTTGAGGTTAATATTTATTAATAAACCTACCTAAACATTATGTATCTATTCAAGTTTTAACATAATTCAACCATTTTTTTTGTTTTGTTTTTAAAGCGATTACTGGATGCGTTTGCAAGTATCAAGTCTGTCAAGGTGCATCGGGCAGCTTTGTGGATTCTGGGAGAGTATGCAGTCACTGCAGATGACATTCAAACTGTTATGTCTCAAATCAGACAAACTCTTGGAGAGGTAAGCTGATGTGAGGCGTGCAAGAACTTCCCAAATAAGTTAATTCTATTCTACAATTAAATATAAATCACACATTTTATTGCTTTGTAAGGTAGTTTATTTTATTATGATCTTTCAGATACCTCTCGTGGAAGATGAGCTAAAGAAGGCTTCAGGTGAGAAAACTGAAGAAGATGCTAACTCTTCAAGTGTTGGCACTGTTCAAAAATTAGTGACTTCTGATGGAACTTACGCCACCCAATCTGCTTTCAGTGCATCTGTGTAAGTATAAAATACATCCTTGAAAATTTTTTATTTTTCATATTATGATACAGCATTGTGTTCTATTTGTAATATTCTCAGCAATATTAAAAAGACGGAAGCAAGGCCGCCGTTACGCCAATATTTAATGGACGGAGATTTCTTCATGGGTGCATCTTTGGGTACCACTCTTGTAAAACTTGCTCTAAGATACATTTCTTTGGTATCTGATTGTGTGAGGCAAAATCGGTTCTGTGCTGAAGCTATGCTTATTATCACCTCAGTTTTGCATCTTGGGAAGTCTGGTATGTTGCATACATTTTTTTCAATCCTAATACATTTTCTTGTAGTCCTGGTTTGTCAGTTGACATTCTTATAATTAATTCCAAACTTATTACAATTTTTTTTAGGTCTACCTTCAAAACCCATTACTAATGATGATGCTGATCGTCTCTTCCTCTGTCTTCATGTTCTCTCTGACCGTTCCCCTGAGATAATTTCCATTTTTAGTCAGCAATGTCGCAATGCTCTGTCAATCATGCTCTCAGCCAAGGCTGAAGAAGAAGCATCGATTAATAAGGTTAGTTGTTTTCAAAATACATTTGCATTGAAGTCTACAAGTATATCAATGAAATTTCATCCTTTCATTCCACAAATTTGTAGGCCAAAGAAAAGCCTGGAAACGAAGTTCAAGCTGATCACCCTATCAGCTTCCTACAACTTTCCTCTCAACGAGGTGACCAAGCCACAGAGAATGTTTTTGAGTTGAGTTTGAGTCAGGCGCTTGCAGGCTCAAGACGAGACGGTAAATCACAGTTCTATCCCAATCGATATTGACCAAGTAACATTTTCATATCTACTTATTTTTATTCACTGGTGATTTATTTCAGGCAATAGTAAAGAAGTAGGTATGAGTGGGGCTACAAAGCTGAACAAGGTTACACAACTCACTGGGTTCTCAGATCCTGTGTATGCTGAAGCCTATGTTCATGTTAATCAGTATGACATAGTTCTTGATGTTCTCATCGTGAATCAAACTGGTAAGTTTATTTAAATCTATCTTTGATATGCTAGGATTTGAAAACAACAAGTTTTACTGTATGAGTTTTGAAATTTATTACAGGGTCAACCTTGCAAAATTGTACCTTGGAGCTGGCAACTTTGGGTGACCTGAAATTGGTGGAAAGACCACAACCTGTTGTTCTGGCACCTAAAGACTTTTGTAATATTAAAGCCAATGTAAAAGTTGCATCCACTGAGAATGGAATCATCTTTGGCAACATTGGTAAGTGAAACGACAGTGTTTTATCATGTTCATTTATTGTATCCAATCAAATTTACCTGTGATATATTCTAAACTCAAAATCTGTTCTAGTCTATGATGTTAGTGGTGCAGCCTCAGATCGTTATGTTGTAGTTTTAAATGATATCCACATTGATATCATGGATTATATTGTACCAGCTTCTTGTACTGATACAGAATTCAGACAGATGTGGGCAGAGTTTGAATGGGAGAATAAGGTAAACATCATAATTTAAGCTGTTTTAGAAGGTTACTATGCTCCATCGTATTTGCTAAGTAATGCATTTTATTTGTTACTTCAGGTGTCAGTTTACACCAATCTCACTGACCTCCATGAATATCTGAACCATCTCCTTAAGAGTACCAATATGAAGTGCTTGACACCTGTAAAGGTATTTTTCTTATTCCATTCATATTATTATTGTTATATGTAACTTATCACGTTTGCTAATGTTTTTTCTTCCCCTTTTCTTTTGACAACAGGCGTTATCAGGACAGTGTGGATTCATGGCAGCAAACATGTATGCTAGGTCAATTTTTGGGGAAGATGCTTTAGCTAACCTTAGCATAGAGAAGCCATACAACAAGCCGGACGCTCCTGTCACTGGTCATATTAGAATTAGGGCTAAGAGCCAGGTAAGTTGGTTGCAGTTTGCACTTATTTTTAAAAGCTTAAAGTTTACCATTTATACTGATTGGAATACCTATTTCTTTTTACCATAGGGAATGGCATTGAGCCTTGGGGATAAAATCAACATGGCTCAAAAACGACCTCAAAAGTCATGTGGCCAATGATTTTTCTTGCTCCAAGTGAAAAGGTTTATTAAGTTCCAAGATTAATTCTATGTTATTACTATTACCATTTAATTGTATGTTAATTTTATGGCTTTCATGCAATGTACACCTTGAATGTTGTTCCAGTATGTTCATGTACTTTTTATTACAGATAGTGTAATGTAATACATTTCAATTAAATTCCTGTGTTGATTCATTAAAGCTTTTATTGATTAACTTTAAACTCTTTTCTACAGTATTAATTGTCCCTTACATATTGGCAGATGGAAAGTACCAGATAAAGTAACTCTGCAGACATAAAGGGAATGAATATCACAAAACACAGCTAAATGCATCATAAATAAATGTGCCCTATGGCTCGAGTAGGGGTATAAATTTGTTAAATAACAATACTTCCAAGTATATCACAACATAGAAAGTTAAATGTGGAAGGATAACAAGCACAGTAGGAGCAAATACAGCAAAAATGGCACCCAAGTTTATGATTAAACATCAGTCGACTACCGTTGCATGAGATTTAAATTTACTCCTTGAGAAAGAGCAGCCCTTTCTCAAGTTTAACCTTTAAATAAGCAATGATAAGGGGGAAGAGAGTAAAATGTAGAACCTGGACTTTTTCTTCATGACCTCTACAAAGTTATTCAGCCATTTGAAGAAGTGAGTTGACAATAGCAGTTTTGTTATTCTGATTTGCTTCAGCAACAGATTTGATGACTTCTTTGTCCATATTTGGAAACATTTCACTAATCTAGAAACAAGAAAGCGAAAAATTAAATAAAAAAAACATTTTGGTGTACCTTTACCTTTACTGCAAGACCACATACCTGCTTGAGGTCATCCTCTGACAGCTGAGGTGGCTCTACAGGCACCGGCGCAGGTGCTTGGGTATACACCGGGACAGCCTGGAAGGCTCTTGTTCCGTATCCTGCAGGGGTGGGTACCATCATCATGGGAGAGGCCCCTGGCATGGCATAAGGTGCAGCTATGGGTGCAGTCTGTTGAGCACAAGAAATTAAGTGAGTTTACAATTTATAATTATAACAGTTGGATATAGAAACATGAAGTCACTTACTGCGTAGCTTAACACAAGATTTATCATTCCTTCCATCCCTTCTCCTTGCTTGCCACTTAAGGGATACCAATCTTCATGTGTTTCACCACACAATACAGCCTCCGTAATGGGGATCTCAGCCCAAGCTATTAACTCATCCATTGTAAAAGAACATTCATCAAATATTTCCAAAACAATGCTATTGATACCTGGGGGTAGAGGGCTAAAGAAAGATACAACTATAAGAAAAATATTGTTTTGCACCACAATAAATTAGGAATATGTACTCCATTATCACGTACCATTGAACAATTTTGTTCCATCGGGGATTTTTCCCTCCATTTGGGTCCGTGTGTGTTTCAAGTACGAAGTGTCCTATTCTCAGTCTCACATAAGGGTCCATCCGAGCCAACCCATAGTTTTTCGCCAGCTTTGCTTGTGCGATTGTAATATTTAGACGTCCCATCTGATGTGTGGGCTGGATCCCCCCCATGGCTGCTAGCTGTTGCTGGTGAAGAGCAAGTGCCGCCTGTTGGTCAGCAGCCTCTTGTTGCTGGTTACCTGCTGGTGCGGCAACTCGTAAGAAGTCTGGCGGGAGTGAGCCCAAAAATACCTACAAAAAGTAAAGTGTGTTGTGTCACATTTTAAAAAAACACTTAGGAAGAGGTTGATGACGATTACTCTATGAAAACCGTGAGGATGTTTTAATGAGAGTAAGAAAGCGCTTTTATATTACTACTGATCAGATGGTATAGTCTCTCGGGTGTCCTGTTACACAACAAGTTAAGGTTGGGAAGCCCCAACATGACACTATTGCTTTAAAGAAAAATTGAAAGGGACCTACCCTTCAGCGAAAATAAATGCCATTTCATTAAAAAGTAGCACAGTGAAAAAGCAATTCACCCCAATGACGAGTTTTCATTTTTTTTGACATTGACAAGGTTTGCAAGTCGCCTGATCCATTTAAAACACTCACTCTTTTCCGTCGCTCTGCATTTTTATCGTTCGGGTCGGCTGCGGCTGCCATATTCTTCAAATAATTTGATAACCACAGTCAGAACTAAACAGGTAAATAGATGAGAGGAGTAACGTCACTTTGGTGACAAAAATATCATGACACAACAACAACAACGTAGCAGTAGCTGCCTCCTCTTCCCCCTTCCCCTCCCCC